TTATTCATTTTCTTTTGGGCTTCATAACATCATTTCAAGGACTATGTGAGGAAATATCACATCATTTTCAGCGCATGTAGGCAGAACAACGCGCAGACAAGTGAGACAACATCAATTACCCCGATTCACTTTTAAACATAATATCGGTTTCTCTGGCATCACATGACCAAAGATATTCAGCACGCTCCGCTGGAAACCCGTCACATGTTTTTATAAAGAAGATAATACCCAAAACAGGAAAACAAAGGAAGTTCAAGAGCGGTACAGAAATTGATTCAAGGATGCTTATCAAATCATCCTAAACATTAAAGGAAATTGGAACACTCCTTCTAATAATGTTTTCGTAGTTACTATCTATGAGATCGTGAAAACTGAGATTCGAGAGAGGACAAATTCGAGATAATTTTGAAAGACAAAATAAAAAGTAACCACGACAACAGACATTCTCCCGCAACGCTTGGGAGTAACTTGACCGATACTGTGCGAAGAAAGAAAATAAAACTCAACAGCGAATGATGTGTTTTCTTCTTCTCCTCCTCCTCTTTTTGTATCTTCTTCTTTTTCTTTTTCCCCTGCCGATGGCGTAGCGTGGTGAAGCCATTGAGAGGGGGCACTGATGTGATTATTTTTTTTTTTTTGGGGGGGGGGGGCTACTAGATAGATGCGAGAAATCAAGGTCGTCGAGGGGAGCAATGGAAAAGGGTCATCTTATTTTCACGTTGCCCTTCCATTTCCCTTTAGTTTTCTTATCTCCCCACCCTTTGAAGTTATTCCATCATGAGGGCACATGCCCCCGCCCCCTCCCCATACCCCCACCGGTCCCGCCATCTTGTATGTCGCGTTCAGTACACGCGCTGGTTGAAGAGAAATATGAAGAAACGGTTAGGGTAGAAAATATTCTCTCCTTCTTTATCGCTAATTAGTATCCCTTCAATATTTCAAATACAAACCGAATCATCAAGTACATGTAAAATAAATTTTCTTCATCTGGTTTTAGTTGTGCAGCTTTTTCATTTCAAATGTAAACTATAGACCATGTGAGATTGCGTTTAGTCCATGAACAAAGACGGAAACCATTCATGAGAATAAAAAGGATGTGGTGATGTTCTGTAAGGAACTTAGAGGAAATTTAAATAATCCATTTAAGTTAAATTTTCTTCAAAATAAATGGCAGTCAATTATGACCTCACGCAACACGAATGTAAAGTATGGCCAGTGAATCATAACTGTATGATATTCAGTGATCGAAGCTAAAATGCATACCAAATTAAAAGTGAAGTGAGCATGAACACATGATGAAGGAATAATTGAAGAATTAGTCAAGACTAAATTGAGAATGAGGTTTCAATTTTGGAAATCGAAATTAGTTTGATACTTCTGTAAGGAATCACTATTTTTGTTTGAATATTTTGATTGGAGCAAGAATGCAATCCAAACATATTGCTTCATTATCTCTCTGTCTCTTTGTCTCTCTCTCTCTCTCTTTTTCTCTCTCTCTCTTTCTCTCTCTCTCTCTTTCTCTCTCTCTCTCTCTCTCCCTCTCCCTCTCCCTCCCCCTCCCCCTCTCAACTATAACATGATTTTTTTTTCTTAAATCTTTTTAAACCTACACCTACGCTATTAACATCTTCTTTAGGTAAGATCGTGAGTTTAAAAAAAATACTGAACATTGAAAAAGAGAAAAATGAAAAGGGATATTTTTAAAAGCAATTTCAGAAAAATCTAGCAGTAATCCGCGGGAGGAAGTCACTATTTTGAGGGCGGAAATTGATTGATAGTTCATGGAAGTAATCACTGCAATTATCCAATAAAAGTTTCTTCGGTATTCATGACCGCAAAGCTTATGTTGGGAAAGAAAGACACACATGAAACATTTGGTAAATCCGCGAATTATGGAATGAAGTCTAGAAATAATATTGTGTTTCCAAACTTAATTTCCATCAAATTGGCTCGGTATTTTTGCTCTTAAAGGAGTATGAATTATGTAAAATGGTTATTGAAACCTAATTAGGAATTCATAATCTCTCAAATAGATGAGTCATATACTAAAGCATTTGTTTTGCGTTTAAAGCTTATAATTTCGTCATGATTCCTATTGTTTTACCCCCATTTCTGTTTATCAGGAAGACTTAAATGTTATCCGCAAACAACTATCAAAAGCAAAATAAGATAACAAAAGATCATAAAGTACTTACTATAAAATCAATTCAGTGCGAAGGAAAATCTCTGTAAACAATCGAAAATGCCCCCATTGTTTTTTGTTTTTTGTTGTATTATTCTATAATACTTTTGTGCCAACTGTGTCATCAATAAGGACAGAGCGACGTTGTTGGCGTTTTTTTATAAATAGTTTACGTTATAAAGGCAATCCAGCCCCATTTCATAATTATGGTACAAATGTTGATACCAGTGTAATATCGAGAAATATCATTAGCGTATATTTTACCGAGAGGAAGCCATCTTCAGGTCATTATATCATAACAATCTTTCGACCAATCAT